CCACAGCGGGTAACACAGCTATGCCAGTATCCATCATCCGAGGTCAGATCTAGCTTGCTGCACCCCCCACCCAGCTCTGGAAGTGCAGAAAGGATGGGGTGGGAGGGAAGGGGGGTGGTGGATTTCGGTTCAAGTTGGAACCAAAGTAAAAAGGGGTTGGATGGGCCCAGTCCTTTCTCAGACACCTGTGGGACCCTGCTAAAGAAAGGAGACAATAGAAAAGAAAGGGCTTCTGTAATTACCTGGTGGCTATTTTTGAGTATCTAGTTAATCAGCACTCTGTCTCCCTAGGAAGTGGCCTTGGTCTCCGCCTGACACTTTTGTTCTGAAGGGCTGCAGGTGGGGGAGCTTTGAACTGTGTGAGAACAGCTCAGCACTAAAAAAGAAACTCAAAGCCCCCCCCCCCCCTTCTTACAGTAGCCGTGCAGCACCGGACGCACCAAAGCAGCCTTTCAGCTCTGAATGGGGAGGAAGGGCTCTGAAAGGCCGACACCCCCCACACACCCTCCTTTGTCCCTCTCTTTGCTAACCACCCTCCCGCCCCGTTTGTCCTGCTAAACCTTCAAGGCCGTGCAAGGCTTCAATGCCCCCTTTCACTTGCTATTTGTTACCAAATAAATATGGGTGATTAAAAAGGGATCAGGAATCCGTGCAGATTGTAGAGGTGCCTGAGAAGGTGGAGTCATCCTCTGTGTAGCCCATGGCTTTTAGCCCTACATGAGTTAGGAAAAGCAATCACATAGGAATAAAAAGCCATAGACCACAGCAGAGGGCTTACGGAGGATAAGCCAGCAGTCTTTAGGGAAACACAAAGAAAGAGGGAAAGGGGAAAACAAAGAAAAAACTCTCCCAGTGACTCCAGGCCAGGGCCACCTGGACTTTGTCTCTGACTTCCCAGACTTCAAGGGTTCCCAAGGAAATTTTAATTTAGTTCCAGCTATGCCACACAGTCATCTTCCCACTTCAAAAATGCAGCCGCTGGTCTGCCAGGAGCCTTCCCCGACTGCTGTTCCCCCTGTCTTGCGTGGGCTCTCTCTGAGATGAGTTTGGTGGCCTGAGCATCAATGCTTATGTAAAACTGAGCGTGCTGCACAAGGGAGGCAAACCCAGAGCCTTTACCAGGAGCACTTGCTGCTCCTCAGCTAAAGCCAGAGGGGAAATCAAAGTACTGCTAGCCCATTCCTGTTCCTACAGGAAGAACAAGCCTTCCTTGAGAGGCCTGCAAAAACCCAGTCCTTATTGCATCTGAATATCAGTGTTTCTAAAGGATACAAACTAGAGCCAGCCCATGACTTGAAAGGCTGTGCTTGGGTCCCTGTTATGCTGTGTACATCAGGAGTCACCAAAGGCAGCGATTCCTCCAGAGCGAGTGTGGTGGGACTGAGAAAGGAACCTGCCCCCAAGCGTTTGCAAGTGCTGCAGCTTTCAAAAGACTCAGAAGTTTTTTTTGCAAACATCTAGTTGGTGTAATAAAAGATATCACCTCTACCATGAGTCCTGATTCTTTTTGCCTCTAGATGAATATGGCTACAACCTGGATGCCTCACTATACGGCTGACACCTTGAGACCTCCCCACCCCTTTTTACCCAGTACTTTCTACGTTCCAGTCTGAAGGGTTTGGTTTGGGTTTTGTTTTTGGGTTTGTTTGTGTTTTTGGTGGTGGTGGTGGTTTGTTTTGTTGGGGTTTTGGGGGGGGGGGGGGGGCAGTTGTATTTAATTTCCATGCCCAAACCAGTTCCAGATTCACTTGGGCACAGCCCAGTAGTCAAATTCCAAAATTCAACTGAGCAAAGCTAAGCAGAGCTTGCCACTGGGCCAGTATCCTCCCCTCCCAGACCCATCAGTTTTGGGCTTTGGATACTCCCCAAATCCAGGCAGACATCCTACGTGCAAGCCCCAGGCCCAGAGGCCTTGGGGTTCAGATGCCCCCTGTCTCGCTTGATCTTAGCCAAAAAGCCGTTCCAGTCTGAAGGTAGCTACCACTGACTCCAGCGGGAAAGGTTTTGCAGCTGGAGCTTTGCTGACTTTACGGACAACAGTGCCAGGGCTGAGTCTCCTCTCACATCGGGGTAACTCAGGAGTAGCTCTTTTGTGGCCAGTGGAGTTTCAAACTCATAAAGGAGAGGATCAGGGAGGTAGCACTCAGTGCAGTCTTCCTCCCCTCTCCACACTCCTGCAAGCTAACGGGAGCAATGCTGTGTTTTTATAAGCAAAGTCAGCAGTGCCCTCCTTCCTATACACTCAGAAGGCTCTAAATATGGGACGCCTCCCTAATGAGGACATCTGAGCATGGGAATCCCCCATTCAGCCTCTGGCTATCAAGCCTCACACAACCAGGGTCCCATTCACTTCCGTGGAGTTCCTCCTGGTTTGCTCCCCTGCACACGAGATGAGGACCCAGCCCAGCGCTGGCATGTGACGATGCAAAGCAGCAGGGGAGCCCCGCAGCCCCTCTGCCTTCTCTGCTGCATGTCCCACCGTAGGCTGGAGAGCTGAGGCCAGCAGGGACTTCCAGCAGAGAGATGCAGCCCCATTCGCACTAAAACCAATGGCAGCACTGCCAGGACGGGCCTCCCAGGGAGCGGCTCTGTGGAGCATGAAGCACCTTGGTCTACACCGTCTCTTTTCTGCTCATAATCTCACATCAAAATGTTCTACGCGCCCTGCTAAGCCCTCGCTCCCGGCCGGCCACATTCGATGCACCTTCTGAGGCTTGCAAAGCATTTGATAAGCGCCAGGTCAGATCCTGAGTAGGTCCTCTCAGTTCAAGGAAAAGTCAGCAGCTGAGGGGTACGTAAGATTAGATCTCTTTAGCAAACAAGGAACTTATGGTACTTAAATTGTGGGTGCTAAAACCCAGGAAATCTGTCCCTGAGTTCCTTTGAAAATTTGGCTTTGCAGCTGTTAAGGGACATGGGCACAGTCCCGCAGTGAGTCGGTGGCAGAGCTTGAGAGAGACCTCCCCACCCCACAACAGGAGTCCTGCCTGGACGCAGGCTGGATGCGCAGGACGCAGGCTGGCAGCATATTCTTCCCTAGAAGCCCTGTAATGAGTCTGCCTTTTCTGCAAAAATAAATGAATAACGAATACCACACCTCTCTGAAGGGTGCGCAAAACAAAACTTTCTTTGTGGGCTGCAGAACAAAGGAAGAAAAAGGCTTTGGCACCGAGTCCGCTCACCACTCCCACCTCGCTCTGTCTCGCAAGTTGATGGTTGACTCAGATGCCTCTGCAAAGAAACCTCTCTGCACTTGATCAGAGACATCTCAGGCCAAGGTGAAGTGTTTTCACAGGAGAGGAATAAAATAGAAACTCTCAGCCGTGCTCTCTGGTCCTGGATGCAGCCCCCACTCCTTAGCGATAGCCTCCGCACCCTACGTTTGGTGCCGGCTGGAGAAACTCTCCTGAAGCCACCAGAGCCCCCCAGGTTACACCAGAGCAGCACGGCTGCCTGTATTTTCCTGTACAAACACGGCTCTCACTCGCATTCATTCAGCAACACTGAGCGCTAATTACCAGGATCTGATGAGGTCAGCGCTGCTTTTGAGACCAAGAAATTCCCCTTCTTGTTGCCCTAGTAAGAATCCTTGGGAAATTTAATTTCTCTAAAACTATACAGTAAGCAAGTTTAGAAGCTGCAAAATCTCGCACCCTGCAGTTTATAATAACGGTGCACATGACTTTGACCTATAAACCAAGCTAGTGAAGCACACAGATCGCTCTGTAATGTTGTGTGCCAAGATCCTTTCTCTTTTAGCCATCAAAAATGAGTCCAAAGGAAAATGCCTGCCTGCCTCCTATAGTCCTGTGGGGATACACTTGCTTCACGCCTGTATGGTATTTAACATGGGTTGCTAGAATTTACATGCAAATGCCACCTGTGTAGGACTAGATGGACATTGGGTAGATATGCTGTCAGCATGGTATATTATCTATACAGGACCAGTATGACACCTGCATTGTCCTAGATTGCCATGCGCTGGCTAGGGATACTGTGTGCCCATCTACGTGACCGTGTGCCAGTGGGCATGCTGATACCCTGTGCTCATGCGCTTTCATGGGAACCTGCACTGTCTGCCGGCACCTACATGAACCTGCATGCAATTATGATGCCCCATTGATGGACATTGGGAATTCACTCTAAAGCACAGCCCGGTTTTCCACTGAGCCGAGAGGGAGCAGAATTAAAGCCAGGTGCTTTTGTGCACCAGCATGAAGTGTCCTTCAGGAAACCACCTTCAGGCAAGCCCTATCCAAGGCATGAAGGGAGCAAGCACTGGAGTGGACCAGGTGGTTTGCCAATGCCTTTTGCTTCACCCTGTCCTTTCCTCCTCAGCCCACCGCTCTCCTCTCAAGATAGCGGCACAGTGCATTGCACTGTCTTCTCGGTCACCTACCTGGAGTGGGGAGGGTATTAAAGGAACCTGCTGTGCCCATTACCTTCTCCTGTCGGCACTGAAAACCACCCTTGAAACAACTCACCCGGGCTATACTCAGAGCCACCAGTCTAGCCGCTTCTGGCTTCATGCTGGTGCTAAGCTGCGCTCCACAGACAAGGTGAGGAAAGACAGAGCCCTGCCATCCCATCCCTCCATTTCCCACCCCCACACCCCAGTGTCCACACAGATGAAGAACACCATCCCGGACCCTTTCACTCATCCTCCAAAGCTCCCCCCTCTCCCCCCTCTGCCCCCTGCACCCTAGTCATCTGCGCCAAGCCCTAATCAGACACACGAGCCCCCAGCAGAGACAGGACTGAAGAGACGTGGCATTGCCGAAGGTGCAGAGCCAGCCGTGGGGCAGGGATGACCTCACTTTTGGCAGAGCGACATCCGTGCCACGGAGATAGCGTGTCGAGCCAGCTGGCCCGGTGCAGGCCTTGAATGTGGACCCCAGTCTCCCACCACCCACCCTGCCAGCAAGGAGGGGTGGGCTAGGCATTGCCCTCCTCCTCCCGGCCCATGCCACCTCAAGCTGCCCTCTCCGCCGCTGTCAAACCTCCGGCTTTCCCAGACGGATGCTCCCTGCCACGTGAGTTTTCTGGGAGCGCCACATGTCCCGATGCCCGCTCCGTGCCTCCTGCCGTTGGCCGGCCTCAGAGAGCTGAGCCGCATCCAACTCGACCCGACTTATTTTTGAAGCTGCTGATCCCTCCTCCCCTGCCTGCCGTTGCTTCTCCGTCTCCCTCCCCACCAGCGACCGAGCGGTTGCTGTTCCCTAGCATACTTGAAACGGTTCAGCGCCACAGGGCCGGGGTGGGGAGGGGGTCAGGTATTTCTCCATCCCCAACTCTGGAGAGCCTGGGTAACAAAGGCTCTATTGAACGGCAGCGTCTCTGGTCTGTGAAGCAGAAACCTCTTGTATCTACTTCACTGCCTTTGATCTAACTCCCCCAGTGGGATGTGTATTACTCATGTCCCACTGCTAGGTTATTGCTGCCAGAGAGGGGAGTAGTGGGGGCTGGGGGGGGAAAAAACCTCTCCTCCCCTTATCGTTCCCCATGTTGGGAAGTATCCCTCCAGCGGGGTTGTCACCCAGCCCTCTCCTCTCTCAGCTACCTTTCCACACCCCATTCTCCACCTTGACCCCTCCGTTTCTCTCCCCTTTGCCCAAAACAGGTTGCTCTCCCAGGTCCAAGGTTTCAAGGCATTGTCTACAGACACTTAACTCTGCCTTTTATCACTCACCAAACCACTGGCATGAAAGCATCAAGGCTCCACTGTTCCCTACATTCCTCTTTTATTAGGAGAGCATTGAAGTTGGTGGATCAGTGATTTCTTTCTCTCTTGCTCTTTCTTTCTGCACCAGGGTTTTACTGGCATCTGGACAAGGGGCAGACAATGAAAACATTTGAATGGATGCCCAAAACTCCTGTGCCTTGGAGACACTTTCATTCCCCCTTTTGCAGATCCTCTTTGGGGTCTGCTCATCCCAGGGGACTTTTCAGAGAGGGGTGTGGTGAGGAGGATGTGCAGGACGCAGATGCTTAACTTCTGCTGACAAAGACCCGTGGCCTGTTTGATCAGGATGTCTAGCTCCCGTCTGCCTTTGGCTCAGAGACAGATTTTCAGAGCTCTCTGCACCCAGATGCTTTCATGGCAACGGGAGTAGCCAGATTTTCACAACCCTTCAGCACCCAACACGCTCTGCTCTCGCGGGGCCTGAAATGGAGCTGGTTTCCTCTCCCAACCTGTCCCCAGACTCAGAGGATGAGCCCTTCTAAAAATTGTGGGCAAATGTATCAAAGGCAGCTGAGTTACTTGGGTTATTTAGGGCCCGGTTTTCAAAAGAAAGTGGGTGTCTAAAAATACCAGAAGAGCCCTTGTGGGATTTTCAGAAGTTTCCTAAGCAAGTTACAGGCCTCAGCCCATGGGAATAATAGATGGATGGTAGGCGCCTCCCCTGCATAGGTGCCTCTGAGGACCCCACTCAGTGCCAGTTTGCAAAGTTAGACACCTGTCTGGTTTGAAAACTGGCCATAAGTTTCCTGAAAATCAGTGAGGCTTCATTGTGGCTTCAGCAAAATACAGTCCCCTTGCCTCAGTGGTAGATTTCCAGCAAGTGCCAGCATCCATGGCACCCCGCGGCACTGAGTTAGCGATGGAAGCTCAGACCCTTCTGCATCTCGGGCCCCAGAGGAAGGGCATCTCATGCTAAAGGACTCAAGAACAAGTGGACCCTCTGTCCGAGGATAGTCAAGGGTTTCCAGTGCTGCCGCCTCCTCTCCCACCGCTGTTCTCCTCCTTCCCCACCTCCTTCCCTCGGTTCTCAGGTGCTTTCATTCCTCCACAACCCCCTCTCAAAAGAGCCAAGCTGTTCAAAAGCATCTCCTCCCGGTGTGACAGAGGCGGCATTCTTCTCCTGCCTCTATCCCCTCTGTGCTTTTATTGTTTGCCATGACTATACACATTCTTGAAGCTTTAATGAGAGCCACAGTGCTGTTTCCATCTTTGCTGGAAAGCACACATGGGAGACAGACAAAAACAGCACATATCCAAGAGGACAAATAAGAGGACAGAGAGAGAGATCTGCAGCCAGCCAGACCTGCAGACAGACGGACAGATAGATAGACTAAGATCAAATCCCATTGCCCATCTAGTCCAAAATCCAGTCTCCCACATGGCCGGTACCAGAGAAGGAGCAATGAACCCTGCAGTTATCTCACAAAGTTCCCTCCTGATCCCTATCAGCTTGTGCCCTGCGGCAGGACGGCCCATCCCAAATCCTTGTTTTTTGTTGGTTTTTTAAATGTTAACTATTATAACTCAGGAGAGCTGCTGAAGCCAGAGAGTTGGGCAGCACTCCATTTCTTGACAACCGGCTCCAGCACAGAAAGATTAGATCTACTAATCACATTTATAAGGCGCCCAGTATCATGGCTTGGGTATTTGGAGAATATTTTTCACTGTAGCTAAGTCACTTCCCCACCCCCAACGTGCATTACTATATCCCAGTCAATTAGTTTTGTTGGGACTTGTCGGCTATATAATGCAGCACCTTCCATCTGGGGATCTTAAATGCAGGCATGACATTAACCCATTGGTATCTAATACTATTGCAGCCTTTTCTTTAATGGGCATTACATATATTACTTCCACTCTCTGTGCTCTTTGCAGTATGCTCTGTTGATGTGTCCATGCCAATCTCTCTCTTAATAAAAAGAACTGGGAAACACCTTTGCTTCACAGTATCCCCCTCCACAGCAGTGTCCTTCCTGATCTGGAAGGATACAGAAGGGAGAGAGAAGCTTGGGACCTGCCTGAGGTCAGTAACAGAGCTGTGGTGTCCAAACCAGAAGTCCTGGCTCGCAAGCTCACCTGCACAGCCTTCAGCAACCAGAGAGACTAGCAATCCCTTGCCCTAATCACTACACCACACTGTTGCTGACCTGCAGATTAAGCGGACAGATGCATAGGTGCAACTATCTCCACCGTTCCAGCATCTCCATGCAAACAGGTCCTAGAAGGCTCTGCTCCCATTGCTGCAGCATCCTATTAGCCAAAGGCATCATTAGGTGAAGGCGGAGTGCCTCTGAGGCCTTGGCTTTGACAAAAAAACCATGGGCCCGGCTTCATGCAATGTGGTCTTACTACAAACACATACACACACACTCTCTCCAAAACATGAAATATAGCACAAAATTGGATCTTTTTATTAAACACAAGGGGAAAACCTCTGTTTTTCTGGGCAGTTTCCTACCCACTATGTGCCCCTGTGGGATTCTCAGGCTGCCCCTCTCCACCATAGCAGAGACTGGTGGTATGGCCACTCTTAGCCAGCCCCACGTAGCCTATAGGATGCATTTACTCCTGTACAAGGAGTACAAGCAATGCAAGGGCACTGCCTTAACCCATGGCAGTACGTAGGCACAATTCAGACATGGAGGTAGGGTTTTGAACCAGGCTGCCACAGGTGCTGGTTATACCGGGACCAAGCGGCACAGCAGCCGGTCAAGGTTCATCCAGGTATAAAGATCAGGGGGCAGCAACTGTCTTTGAATTGTGCCTGTGTCGCCAATTAAAGCTGGATGGCCTTCTGAGAAAGCAGGGGAACTCTGTCACTGAGGAACGCATTTTTGGTTCAGCCGAAACATTTCACCATTTTCAGCAAACAATTTCAGTCAGAAGAAAAGGCAAAGAAAAATTTCGAAAAGGTGGGAGCATTTCATTTCTAGTCGTCAACGTAAGCCAAGGTTTTGTTCAGCAAATTACTGAAGGTCATTCAAACATTTTATTTATAACTTTAAAACCGTCCCACGCCCAGACAAAAGCCTTTGTTTGGGGACAAACAGAAAATGTCGTTCAACCAGACTGATTTTCTTCGTTCCATTTTTCAGTTTGCCAAAAATCCTAAAGAATCGATCCGTGGCTGCCCTCAGGTTTTCATTTTTTCCAAGGTGCTGGGACTACAAGCAAGCAAAGCAGCTGTTCATATCGTTCTGGGGATAGGCGCCTCGTAGCAGAGCCTCAGGAGACAATGACAGTAGTTGTGAAGCCCAGGCACTGGTCTCCTCTGATAACACAAGCCCAGGGCTGTAAGGAGGCAGCATACTTTTTCCTGTGCTGCTGGTTTTAAAGTTACAGCCTTTAGGAAGCTGTAAATACCTCCCGGGCCAGAGAACCTCTGCTAGTTTGGTACTGCACTGCAGAAAAGATGACAGCGATTTACCCCAGCAGTGGATCTGGCCTACCAAGTGCTAACTTATACTGTTAAGTTGAGTCCACCAGCCCTGAAAGGAGTGTTTCTGCTTGCAGGAAGCCTGGCAAGGGTGTTACTAGCACATTCATGACAAGGCATGTCAGCGTGTCACAGTACATCTGATCTCTGCTAAACCTCTCTATACATCGCCTCCAAGCTTGCTCAACTTCCGAGCACGCAGCAATCTCTAGCAATTTCCTCGGGCCTTTTTCCTCAAGAGGGATGGATTCGATAATGGCCCAGGACAGCTCCTGCAAAGCAGCCAGCGACTGACTGCGTGGAACATGAAAAGAGAGAAAACGCACCTCTAGCATCCAGGGAAGTCCCTCACGAACCAGATCCTCCTCTGCCTTTTAGCACTGCTCCCCGTCTTGGCTATTCCAGCTCCCGCAGCGCCGACCAGCTGTAATTAAGTCTGGGCTACCAGCGAGGAGACGCGAGAGCAGCCAATGGGGGATTTGTCTAGAGCGGCAGGAGGAGCACGGGGGCTTGATGAGAAATGGTCTCTAACGCAGCGAACGAGACGCCAGCTGCAGCTAGAGATATTCTGCGCTCCCTCAAGGGTGCCGAGGAGTAGCAGACTCGCTCGCATGCACGCACGACCGGCTGGGACACGGGGGTGCTACCGGCTTCCCCCATTGAAGACAGCTCTGAACAATCGGTCTGGTGGGCTGTGGCAGGCTGAGTTTCTGGCGCAGGCCACCTACACAGCGGAGTCAGAATTAGTAGTGAATGGAAATGCAGCCTCCACTCCCGTTCCCACCCCCTGCCCCACAGTCAGTGACTGAGCGGAGTTACTCAGAGATTTGAAGCGGAAGGTGGCGAGCACCCACGCTCCCGTTGATGAGCCGAGAGGGGAGGCAGGCAGGGAGGAAGGCTCTCCAGCCTCCGCTGCCTGTTTCTCCGCCGCGCTGGGGTGGCAGGGGGAAAAGGGACGAGCCCTCCATCTGCCACCA